TATTATTTTAGAATATTCTAATAAATTTAGTTATTAATTAAATAGTTACTTAATATATATAGTAATTAGTTTAAAATTTAATATATTTAGTTATTAATTAAATAATCCTTTAATATATTTAATTATTAATTAAATAATTATTTAATATATTTAATAAATAGTTTAAAATCTTTTAATATATTTAATAGATAGTTTAAAATCTTTTAATATATTTAATTATTAATTAAATAATCCTTAATATATTTATTAAATAATTTAAAATCTTTTAATATATTTAGTAAATAGTTTAAAACTTTAATATGTTTAGTTATTAATTAAATAGTATATAATAATTATTATAGGTATTAAAGGTATTTTAAGCCCTTAGTTTTATTAAAGTTATAGCTATTCTAACTTTTTTTCTTCTTTTATAATCCCTTTAATATTATATTATCTATTAATATACTTTAATAAGCTTTTATATAAAAATACTTTATTTAAAAATATATTTATATAGTAAATTTAAAAATTAATTTATAATTATTAAATTTATTTTTAATATATATATATTATTTAAACTTAAATAAAATTTTAAATCCTTTATATTAAAATAACTACTATAAGGATAATAGGAAATATTTTTAACCTTATTATTACTAATTATACCTATTTATATTATTATTAATATCTTATAGATTAATATACTCTATTAATTAATAATATATTAAATATAATATATATTAAAATATATATTTTAAAGAAATTTATTAAATAATATAGTTTTATAATTATAAAAATCTATAATAAGTTATATAGCTATTTTTATATTTAGTATTTTATAGATATAATATAATTTTATAAGTTAAAATAGCTTTATATAAATAAGTATTATTATAATAAGTAATATATTAAATATAATATATATTAAAATATATATTTTAAAGAGATTTATTAAATAATATAGTTTTATAATTATAAAATTTATAATATATTATATAACTATTTTTATATTTAATATTTTATAAATATAATATAATTTTATAAGTTAAGATAGCTCTATATAAGTAAATACTATAATAATAAGTAATATACTATATATAATATATATTTAAATATATACTTTAAAAGATCTATTAAATAGTATAGCTTTTATAATTATAAAATTTATAGTATATTATATAACTACTTTTAATAGATTTATATTATATAAATATACCTTTAAAATTTAAAATAACTTTTATTATTAAATATTTATATAATAAGTTAGTATTATATTATATTATATTAATTTATTATAACTTTTTTATTTAAATAAAACTTTTAAAAGAAAATAATATTATTATATTTATTATAATAAAACCTTTTATTAATATAAGTTTTATTTTTATTAAAAGTTTTTAATAGTATATAATATTAGTTAAAACTTATAAGTTAATTTTTTAATTCTTTATATAAATAAATTTTTAATAGCTTTAAATTTATATTAAAGCCTATTAAAGTATATTAGTAGGTAAGAGGTAATTAAAGGGATTATAAAGGATTATAGGTTAAATATTAATTAATAGTTATTAAACTATTAAAACCTTATTATAGGGCTATTTAAATTTTAACTAAATATTAAGTTAATAGCTATTAAGTTATAAACTTTATTATAGAGTTATTTAAACTTTAATTAAATATTAAGTTAGTAATTATTAAATTATTAAAGACTTTATTATAGGGTTATTTAAATTTTAATTAAATATTAAGTTAATAGCTATTAAATTATAAATCTTATTATAAGGTTATTTAAACTTTAATTAAATATTAAGTTAATAATTATTAAATTATTAAAACTTTATTATAAAGTTATTTAAATTTTAATTAAATATTAAGTTAATAATTATTGCTATATATTTTAAATATTAATTAATATATAATATATTTATAAGTATTTAACTTTTAAGTTTTAATTAAAGAAAATATACTTTAAGTTTTATAATATTTTTAATATTAATTTTATTTATTATAATTAATATTAAACTATTAGCTTATTTATTATATTTTATTATAATATAAATAAATAGTTTTACTTTATTATAATAAAAGTTATATAAAATCTTTATTATATATATTTATAAGATTTATATTATACTTTATATATATTAATTATAATTTATTTTATAATTATATATTTATTTAAATAAGTTAGTTATATATTTTAATTTATTTAAGTTATAATATATAGTGGTTTTAAAGGTATTATATTAAATAACTATCTTTACTTAACTTTTAATAATAGTAAGGGTGTATATAGATATAAAAAACTTAATATATTTTAATTTTTTAGTTATTTAGGTAGTTTTAAAGGTAATATATTAAATAACTTATCTTTACTTAACCTTTAAGTAATAATATAGAAATATTATATCTATATATAATAAAAGTATTTTTATATAATATAAATTTTAATAAAATAAATTTAATATATATATAATAATAAGTTTATATTTATATTATTAAAATAACTTTAATTATTTTTATAAAAGTATTATATAAAATTTAATTAATATAAGTTATATTAAGTTTTTATTTTAAAATAAATACTTTTATATATATATTTATTTTATATATATATAATAATTATCTTTTATTTATTATTATTATATTAATATATATAGAATTTTTTATTTAAACCTTAACTTTATTTATATTAATTTCTTTCCTTTTAATTATACTTTATAATTAATTTTATAACTTTTATATAACTTTATACTTTTTCCTTTTATAACCTATATTCTACTAAATTAATAAAATTCTAACCTTAGAAAATAGTATTATATTAAGGAAGGCCTAATAATTATATTCTTTTTTATAGCTTTTATTATATAATTTAATTATAATATATATTAATATATACTTTATTAACTAATTTTTAGTTATAGAAGCTATAATATTTAAGTTAAATATAGTTTTTATATAGGTAGTTACTCTTTATATATAGTTTTTAGTTTTAATTTTATTTTAAAATTATATTATTAAGTTTATAGATTTTTATAAACTAATTATTTAAGAAATAATAAGTAGTTTTTATTTATTCTTTTATTTTATATTAATAGATCTTTAAGTAGCTTAACTTAATTTATTATTATTTATTTTTAAAATAAGTATAAAATTCCTATTATAGCTATATTAACTTTTATTTTATTTATAAGAATTAATAATAGTCCTTAGAGCTTTTATTATATTTATTATAGTATATTATTTTATTAAAAGTCTTCTTTATTATCTATTTATTAATATAATATTTATTATAATATAAATATATAATTAACTATATTACCTTAATTATATTATAATTACTATTTTTAGTAGAATTTTTCTATTAGTAATATTTTAATAATATCTTTTAATAGGTTATTTAATATTTATTATAAATATTAGAAGAGTTAATTTAGAGTTATAATAGTATTTTATATATAAGCCTTTAAAGCCTTTCTTTATTAGTTAATATAATACTTATAATAAGAAGTAAGTTAATTAATTAATAATAGGGTATTTAGTACTAATTATAATAATATAATATTAAAAAGTTATTAACCTATATATTTTAATTAATTAGGTTTATAGATAGTATTCTCTTACTTTATAAATACTTATAACCTTAATATTTATTATAAAATATTATTATATAATATTATTAATTTAAAATATAAGAATATTTATTAAATATAATTAATATAATAGTCTTTAAAAGGTTTAAATTATAATTTAATACCTTAATATAACTATTTTATAAATTAAAGTTATAAAAATATTAATTATATAAGATTTTTATTTATTTATTAATAAACTAATAAAGTATAACTTTAATATTTAATATAATAGCTTTATTTAAGCTTTTAATTTTAAATTATTTAGTTTTTTTTATTATTAAAGGTTAATATATAGAGTATAAATAATTAATAAGTATAATAAAGGTTAAAAGTAGAATTAATTAATAAATTATTATTATTTTTAATTTTTATTAATATAATTATAGATTTAATATAATTATAATTATATAGTTATTAATATAATTATTATTAAAATAGTAAAATAATAAAATAAATAATAATTAGATATTAAAATAAGAGAAATTATTATATTTAATTAAAAGAAAAGAATTTCCTTATTTCTTATTTAATTTAAAAATAAATATATAAATATTTAATTTAGTTTATATAAATTAATTTTCTTTTATTTCTATTAGGTAATATATTTATTATAGGGGTATAATAATAAGAAAATACTTAATATATAATTTTTAAGGTTATTATAGGGTAGACTTAGTAAGTATATAATATTATATAGGCTATATATATTAAAAGAGATATTAGGTAAGTAGATAGTAGAAACTAGGTGAGTGGATATAATTACTGGGTGAGTGGATGTTGGCTCTAATAAAGTGCTTAGTTAGGTTAGCTAGACCTTACTAACTAAGCTTAGTTTATAAACATATTTTAGTAGCTGGTGTATCCTCTGTTTTTTTCGGTGCAAATCTCCGATCTCTTCAGATAACGGTTGTACAAGCGGGTCCATTTGCGGCGTCTCCACATGTGTTTACCTTGCAGGATGAGCAAACATTTCAAGAGGTAGCAAATGTCAAATGTCATCCAATGTGGGGAGTACCATAGCGGGCTGATTTTCTTACAATTCATTTCAAGGTAAAAGCAAAATGTGAGCCTCTGCATGTGATGAAATCACTAACGACAGCGGTGTCTTTATCAAGAAAGAACTTGCCGTGACAAATACTGTGACATGCAACAGCCTGCAAATCCACTGTTTTACTGTTGCTGCCTAGGTACTAGGCCTCGCAGATATCTCATTTGATTGGTCTTCAGTGTACGTTGCATTGGAGCAGGGTTGAAATTACAGAGGTGCAAAAGCGGCACAGCATTGGCAAAATTACTCGCTGCGCATCCTTCCCGAGGTCCCCTCATCTCAACCTTTCATACCGGGTTGGGGTTGGCACCCATTCCATCTTTCAGGTCCCAACTCTGCTCAGATTTGGCGTCGTCCTCCTGCACACATAGCTCTCAACATAGTCATCACAAGAGGGTAAATCTTCCATCTACGGCACATGATCACTCGAACTCGATTGGTTGCAACGAGTGCCACAGATTTCCAGCTCATCGGATCTCCTAGCGATCACGATGTCCGACTCCGAAAGTTCTGCAGACGATCTTTACGTTGTTCTCAACGACTCAGACGACTCCGATGCTAGCATTTCAATCGATCCTTCAAGCAGTCTCTGGATAACTCTCCAATACTCGTTAAAAATAGGAGCAATCACCGAGTATTACCAGGAAGCAACGGGACAACTTTTCGATGACGATGGGAACGTCAATGACCCCGCGCCAGACTCTAAGGCCGTCGCTGGCAGCTCCCTACTTGATGCTGTCAGAGATATGGTTCTTCATCATGACAGTCGGGGTAAAGAGGCCATGTTATCATCCGCATGGCGCAGAGTCAAGTCGGCTGAGAACAAATTTCGTAAAGTGACTGACCGGTTCGAGGTCAAACTGGAGCAAGTCAAATCGCTTGACTCACGCTGGAGTGAGGTGGACGCAGACGAAATCCGAAGATCAGCCATTGATGCTGAGCTACTTACACTGTTAATGAGTTTAATGCAGGGTCGGTCGGCCATCCCGATGTTACCCAGGGTCACAATTCCTGAGCTCCCTGCACGCTCGTCTCTAGGGCCTGACATGACAACGCTGGAAGTGTTCGAGCACGCAAAGTTGGCATCACCAAAGGACACGATTCGCCTGGTGAGAATGGAGTCGATCACGGAACACCCCAACTCTCCAATACGTATATCGACGAGAACAATTAGCCTGCAAGACAATGTTCCCTACTCAACACTATCTTACACCTGGGGCAATCCTTTTGGCTTATTCTGCTCTGAGAACGACCGCGATGCTGTTCCACGCACAGACGTTCCCATCATATGTGATGGAAAGCGTTTGGACATTGGTGAAAACCTGTATAGATTTCTCTGTAGATGGCGGGAGTCGCTGGCCACTCCTGATGAGACCAAGTGGAAACTCAGCTTATCCGATGAGCTGTATGAGGACGAAGATGTCAGACATCCTGCAGAGATTTGGATCGATGCGATATGTATCAATCAGAGGGACCTTGAGGAGAGGAACCAGCAGGTATCGATCATGGGAGACATATACACGAACAGCGTGGGAACCTGGGCATGGCTAGGAGAGCACGACGAGTTTTCTGAAGTTGGGCTCACCATTCTGCAAAAGCTGAGCCACCTGCACAACCGATTCGAAAGTGGCCTTTTTGGAACTCGCGACCTGGAGGAGAAAGACTCAACGCTTGCTCGCTTCTTCCTGCCAGACAGTAACTCATGGGGCTGGTTCGCTGTCTTCGCACTATTTCAACGACAGTGGTTTCGGCGGTCGTGGGTAGTGCAGGAAGTCACGCTTTCATCACGACTGCTCATTCAATGTGGCTCGGCAATTATGTCCGGCACGTCCTTTTACGCTGCCATTTATGGTCTTCGGCGATTCGACTTCTTGGCGCAGATGTTCAACGATATCAGTAGGCAAGAGCTGAAGGTGGGCCGCCCTTCCCAGGAACACTCTGGATTCGAAAGGTCCATCAACGAGCTGTCAGGCTCAAGATACCATCTTTGTCGAGACGGAATAGCCCAAGGTTACATTGGACACATTTCTCGCGTAATAGGCATCAAGCTGTTCGACCCCGAAATCCTCGAAAAGGACAGAAATGGCTTGAAACCCTCCCCGTCTGAGAAGACTGATAAAGTTTATGAGTTACTGGGCATCTGGAAACTCAGTCAGCAAACGCTTTGTGGCGACCCGAGAGATAAAGTATTTGCGGTCGCAGCCTTGATCAAGAAAAACATTTACAAGACCCCAAACACCATTCAGGACCGCAGAGCGGTGCAACCGGACTACAAAAAGTCTGTGTGCGAGGTGTACTGCGACGCGGCTTGGTTTACTCTTTTGACTCATGCCAGCTTGGACGTGTTGTCTATGGCCGGGCACATTTCACTAAAAAGTGAACACAACTTACCATCATGGGTTCCCGACTTAAACCAATCGAGTCGCTTCTCGCAATTAAACAATCACTTGTTCACTCTGGATAATTACCTGCTATGGAACCCTCAGCTCGGCTGGCTCGCTAGCGGTGGGGCACGCTGGGAAATTCCACCACCAGCCAAGCGGCACGGACGGCATTTGGACATAGAAATCTCCCTCGTTGGTAGAATAAAGGTCACAGAGGGCAAAGAGCCTGAATATACCGACGAAAAGACTCGAGATGCGGCATTACGCGCGAGATTCAGGAAGTTTCTGGACTTCTCAACACTACTTCCACCTACCTATCTCGGCCATCCAGATGGCCAAAGTCGGCTTGAAGTCATCTGGAGAACGATCATACTCGATGCGGAGGACGTTCATAACTTGGATGCTGCCTCGCCAGCCTCTCCCAAGTACGCCGCCAGCTTCGAGAAGTTGTGCAAGGAAGCTATTCAACATGTGCTTGACGATATTGCGGCGGGCAAAGTTGATGACACGGATTTGCATAGGTCTACGGAGGCTATGCGGGACATGGAGAGGCTGCAAGATCTTTCAGCCTCGTTCAGTCGAATGGACATCGAGGACGATGAGGATGCATTCGGAACCTTTTGCCAGCGAGTCCTTCACTCCATGGCGACACGCAGGCTTTTTATTGCTGACACAGGCCACGTTGGCTGTGGAGAGTCCGAGCTTTGTGTTGGCGATGTAATAGCTGTTGTGGCTGGATCTTCCGTCCCCTTTCTCTTGAGGCCTATCTCCGATGGGAGGTATGTATTGATTGGGGAAGCTTATGTTCACGGCATCATGTTTGGCGAGCATGCTATGAAGCCTGACGTGAAATGGGAGCCTATCACATTGGAATGAAACGATACTGGTACTGTGTCATCTGGCGGGGACTAAAACCGGCAAAGACAAGTCAACCCGGATATCTGGTATGCGTGGTTCTTTTCGCGACTGCGCTCTGCATATTATCGAAGGTAGGGTTCTCGAAGGCGATGAAATATAAGTGGTAAAACGCGCAGCAAAGGATGATCTTTCAGCGATCCAAATGTAAAAACCAGACTTCAAGTATCCTATAAAACGAGACCATACAGGAAGCGCTCATCCCACTCCCAGCTATACTGTTCATAACCCTGACCTTCTGTTGCCCATTCTGTCTCCTCACACCGTCGAGGAACTCGTCAATCATGGTGCTGGTGCCGAATAATGTTCCGCGTATCAAGCACCCACCACTACCAAAGGTATAGAGCCCAGCCCCAGCTCGAGATCGGCTTAGGCACTATTAGCTAGAGTGCAACTTAATCTAGAGGTACCGTATTAAGCTCCTCAGGGGCAGTTAGGTGTAGTCTATTCGCAGCTACTGCTACAGCTAGTTAACAAACCGCTCTTCCAGGTATCTTAGAGTATTTTATATAGTCTAGTAACTAGGTAAAGTCTAGTTCTTCTACCCTTATTATCTATAAAAGTTTAACGTTCTATAAAAGTATAAATAAAGGTCCTTTAAATATAAAAAGTAACTTATTTTATTTAAAGTTATATAAATAGTTATAAACTAAACTAACTATTAATTATAATTATAATTATATTATTAAATATTAAAAATAAATTTAAACTTAAGTAATATCTTTTATAATTTAAAAATTAAATAAATAAACTATAAATTAAAGTAATATTATAAAAAAGTTATATAAATTTATAATAAAAGTATTTCTATTCTTTAAAATAAATAATAATATATTTAATAAACTTATAGAAAGAAATAATTTAAAAGTATTAATATTAATTATATTTATTTTACTTTTAAAAGATTTAAATATTAATATATATTTTATAATAATAAAGCATTTAATAATATTAAAAGAACTTATTTTAATTTATTAATTATTTATAAATTTATAATAAATAGATTTTATCGATTATAAGAAATAATTAAAAGTTATTTATAAATAATTAAATTTATAAACTATTTTAAAATTTAAAGATTTAAATTCTATTATTATTATATTATTTTATATTAAAACGTTTTATAAACACTTTACTCACATTATATAAATAGTTATTTCTTAAATTAATAAGTATATATAAACTTTTAAAATTAAAATATATATATTAAATACTAAGAAATTTTTAATGTGTTTAATATAAAATTATAAAGTATTGTTACTCTACTTTTTAAAAAATATAATTATTTAAAGTATTAATATTTAAAAGAAAGTTATTTTTAAGTTTTAAATATTAAAACTAATTTAAAGGTGTTCTTAATATAAATAATAAAAGAGTTATTTAATAAGTTATTATTAAAGACTATATAATTTAATAATAACTTAAATTATCTTATTATTTTAATTTTATTTAATAAAATTAAAAACTTATAATTATTATTATATTTATTAAATAGTATAAAATTATATATTTTATTTTAAAAAATTTATAATTTATATAATAAAGTATATTAATAAATTAAATATTAAAATATTAATAAATATTTATAAAGTAATTAATATAAGTTTAATAAATATTAAGATTTAAGTATTACTAGAAATAAAGTAATAAATAAAGTTAGTTAAAATTAAATTAAATTATTAGTTAAACTTTAAGATTTAAAGAGAGTTAATATTAAAAAGTATTAATTATAGTAGGCTATAATATTAAGTATAATAGTATAGATTGAGAGAGGTTTAAAGGTTTATTAGGTTTAGATTTAATATAAGATTAATTCTTACCTTTTTAAAAAGAAATAAATAGGTATTACTTACTTTTTAATAGATTTAAAGAAGGTATAGCTAAATATTAGAGTACTTTTAAGGTACTTCTTTATAACTTTTACTTAATTATTATAATTATACCTCCTTTTAAAGGTTATCTTTAACTATTATTATTAGTTAATATTAATTATTTTTATTTATATTTTTAAAATTTTCTTTATTTATTATTATTAATTAATTTTAATAACTTATTAAATCTTTTAATAATCTTTATTATATCTTTATAGAGGTATAAATTAGCTAACCTTCCTTTTAAATAATTATTTTTCTTTATTTCTACTTTTTTCTTTTTTAATAACTAACCTTATTAAATCTTTAATAAACTTCCTTTTTAATTTTTAACTATTTTTAATTATTTTATTAATTTTTAAATATTATTATTATATCTTACTATTTAAAGTAATTTAAAATATCTTTATTTTATAACTATTCTTTATTTATTATTATATTATTTATAAATAGTAATTATAAGGCTTATAAATAGTCTTTTTTAAAAGACTTTATATATTATTTTATATATATTACTTTAAATAATAAAATAATTTATTTAAAAATTATTTTAATTTATTAAGTTTAACCTTTAAGGGCTTTAATAGTAATTATACTAACTTTATTTTTATTAACTTTAACTTTTTTTTTTTATATTAAATCTATTTATAATTTAATTAAAAATATTATTATTAAGGTCTTTAATAGTTGTTTTTAAAAATAATAGGTAAATAGTTTAAAATTACTTTATATATCTTTTAAATTTATTAGAAAGTAATTATAAAAGTTATTTTTTACTTTAAGATTTAAATAAAAGGCTTTTAAAGGCTTTTAAATTTTTAAAGATTTTTAATTTTAACTTTTATATATTTAATATTTAACTAACTTTATAAGGTTAAAAGTATATTATATTTTTTTAAAAGTATATAGAAAGTATTTTTATAAACTTAAATTTCTTTAATTATATTATATTAAATTATATTAAAATTATAAAAATAGAATAAAGTAATTAAATTATAAGTTTTTATAATATATATATAAGGGCCTTTTTAAATAAGTAGAGAGTATTCTTTTTTTATATAAGAATATTTTTATATAGTTTTTAGTTAAATAGTTTTTATTATAATTAATATATTATAAAGTATTATTTTTTTATATTATAGTAAACTTTTTTATTTACTTTTATTATTATTATTAATTTTCTAAATTAGAAAGATTTCTTTATTATTAAATTAATTATTAATTTTTATTTAGTAAAATTTTTTAAAAGGAATTATAAATAATATAAAACTTTTATTTTTATTTATATAAAAATAAATTAATATAGTTTTAAGTTTAATTTATTAATATTTTAATAAATATATTTATAAATAGTTTTAATAGTTATTTAGTTTTTAAAAGAAAGTTAAAAACTTTAAATTTTAAGGTAGTTTATTAAATAATAAAGAAAAGTAGTAGATTTTTATATTAAATATAAGTAATTAACTATTATTAAAAGTTTAATATTAACTTTTTTAAAAAAGAGATTATAATAATTAATATTTTTAATTATAAATTATAATTAATTTATATATTTTTAATTAATAGAATTTAATTTAAATAAAGATTTAAATAATATTTAAAAGAAAGTTTTTATAATTTAATTAAGAATTACTATAATATATTATATTTAGTTTTAATAAATAATAACTTTTATTGAATATATTTTAATTTAAAGGCTTTTTAAAAGGTAATAAATATAATAAATAAAGTCTTTAGTTTATAACCTTAAAGTTATTTTTTTTAAGAGATAATTTATAGAATATAAATAATCCTTTTAAAAGTTAATTAAAAGTATTATAAGTTAATAAATAAAATTATAAAAGTAAAATTTTAAAGTTTTTAAAGTAGGATAATAATACCCTTTATATTACTTTTTAAAGTAAATTTTAACCTATTATAAGTTTAGATAGTTTAAGGATAGTTTATTCTTAATATATTTATATTATTTTTATAATAATCTTTTAATTTTAATATTATAAATAATTAATTCTTCTTAACTACTAACTAATAGCACTTATTTTTTAATATTTATTCTTTAAGTACTTTATTAAGTATTTATAATTTATTTATTTATTTTTATTTACTTTATTAGCCTTTTATTAGATTTAAATTTTAATTATATTTTATTTTTATTAACTTATTATAAAGCCTTTATAGATTATTTATTATTTATTTATTTAATTATTATTTATTTTATTAGTTATTTTTAATATTTATTTTTATTATTTAATTATTATTTATTTATTTTTATTTATTATAGTTTAAATAGCCCTTTTCTAGCCCTTTATTTATTTATTTTTAAATTTTCTTTTAAAATATTAGAGTTCTTTTTCTTTTAGTATTTTTAAATAGTTTTATTTATAGATATTTTATTTTTAATATTTAAGAGTTATATTTATTTAGCTATTTTTTTATTTTATTAAATAGTAAAGAGTACTTTTAATTTCTTAATAATTTTAAATTTCTTTTAATTTTTATTTAATTTATTTATTTTTAAATTTAATAAGTTTATAATATTCTTTTATAAGCCCTTTAATATTTTAATTATTTATAATTTTAATTAGTTTATATAAAAATATTATATATTTAAAAATATTTTTAAAGAGAATTAAACTATAAGTTTATTTATTAGTTTAAGTTAGAATTTTAAATAAATTAGTTTTTATAGAGTTAGTTTTTATTCTTTAAGTAAAGATATTTAGTTATTAAGGATATTTATTTATTAATCTTAAATTATTTAAGTTAATAATATATATTATAATTTTAAGTTTAAATTTTAACTATTTTATTTAATTTTTAGTATTTTATATAAATTTATTAAAGTTTTTAATTACTTTTTTATTATTAATATTTTTTTATAATATATTATTTTTAATAGGTTATTAATTATATAGAATTATAAAGAGGGTTTATATTCTAATAGTACTTTAAATAAGTTTATTTTAATTATTATATTTTAAGTTAAATTATATATAAAGAATATAATATATAATAGTTTTAATTAATTTTAAATATTTTTAATTATAAATAATTTAAGATATTATTTTAAAGTTTAATTTATTTTTAATT